AATCTACAGAACCAGTCTCTGACCTCCAAATCTCAGCATTCAGAGGTTGAAAGCGGCCACCCACCCGTGGACCCTCTGTCCCAGCCCCCATCCCTGCTGCTGCGGGGGAGGCCGGAGCCACAAGGTAGCTGTGGGCCCTCTAATCCCTGTTAACACCCACTGCGCCAGGAGCCAGGAGAGCGCGCCCCGCTCCTGGCAACCCTGATCCCCTGCCGCCCCCAGTGTGCTTGCTGAGCCAGTGTTGTCCGAAGCCGGATTTAGGGAAACCCAAGCTGGGCCAGGGCGTATGGCAGGGTCTGGCCTCCATCCTGCACCCCCACCCCTGGGTCCCTCACCCTCCCTTCAGGAGGTGAGCTGGGGTCATTTTCTCCCTCCCTCTCCAGGAAGACACCTTCGTGCCCATTAGGAAGACATTCCCCCTTGACCACTGCGTTTCAGCCCCCAGCGTCCCCTGCCCAGGTGCCCTTGTGCAGTGAACAACCTGCCCAACTGTACAGAGCAACCCTGCTCCCTAGCCTGGTCTGCTCAGACACACTCAAAGGTCATGGAAGTCATACCACCTCGCTGCCGCTCTGGGAGCAAGAGGCGCCTACGGGTCCCCTGCCTATCCCAACCTCTTTCTCTCTCAGCCCCGCCCCTACCCTAACTTCTTTCCCTCTCAATTCTATCTACTCCTCATCCCTCTGCTTTCCTGGGGCTGGGCAAGTCTCCAGGTTGTCTTCTGACAATAATAGGAGGCTGGCAAGTGGCATGGTGGTTAAAGGTGCTGGACTCCCACATGGCTGTCTGCAGTTCGAGTCCCGGACCTAGAGGCTTGCTTTCTCATTTTCCCTCACTCTCACTCTGTCCCTCTCTGATAAAACGAAACTAAATAAAATGAAATAAAGTAATTCTTCTTTCTTTCTTTTTTTTTTGGAGAGGTTTATGCTATAGGGTGCGTGCACTCGCCAGAAAGACAGAGAGAGAGATACAGAAAGCGAGAAATCACCCCCTGGGGGATGGCCATGCCGTAATCTCTTCTCCTCCATTCTCCTCTCAGGAATGAGTTTAAGCCACCGGGTCCAGGACTCAAACCATGGTCGACTACATGGGAGTTCAACGACATAGCCATTACACTAACTGCTGATCCCAAGTAATTCTTTAAAAATAATAATAATAGGGACCAGCAGATAGTGTAATGGCTATGTCGCTGGACTCCTATATAGTTGACCGTGGTTCGGGGGGGGGTGATTTCTCGCTTTCTGTCTCTCTCTGTCTTTCTGGCCAGCACATGCACCCAATAGCAAAAACCTCTCCAAAATAATAATAATAATAATAATAATAATAGGAGGCTGGGGAAGAAGGTAGAGAGTGGGAGGCCACACCGGAGTAAAGGGCCTAGGGGAAACAGCTGGGGGCAGGAGGCCTGGCTAGGAGGCTGCAGTAGGGGCAGGCAGGGAGGGGTCTGGGGAGGACCAGGGCATCGGCTTTACCAGGATTTACTGTTCTCAGCAGCACCGGGACACAGGGCTAGGTGGCCAGCAGGGCGGGGGTGCAGAACAAGGCCAGTTTCAGGGACAGCCCCTCCTGGCAGGCTGTGGTCTCTCAGGACTCAGCAGGCTGCAGACCCCCACTGCCCTGTGAGGGCAGCTGCAGTGGAGGCCCGGGGGCACGGTCACTAATAAGCCCCTGTGGCCACCATCCAAGAGCTGGAGCCCGTTTCCTGGGCCCCCCTCCAGGTCCCTTGCACCCAGCTCAGCCAATCTCTGCAGACCTCCAGACAGACAAGGGCTCAGAACTGAGGAACGCCTGTGACACACAGGACACCAGCGCCTGGATTCAAACCCCAGGGCTGCCTGATGGCAGAGGCTGAGCCTCCCTGCTGGACAAGCGGGGCCAGGGCGCTGGACTAAGCCCAGGCAGCAGTTCCTGCAGACTGGACATAGTGCCTGTTCCATCCTGGGCTTTCCCCAGGGGCTGCTCTGGACTCCTGCCTGCAGTTCCCCCTCAATTGAGACCTGCAGCCAAGTCACTGGCCTGTGCAGGGCTTCGGGACAAGGCCCCCAGTCTCTAAAGAGGTGACCAGGAAGACGCTCTGGGTAACAGATGTCCCACACAACACTGCACCTTCTTCCACCAGGCCCAGGAGGACGGAGTCAGACACACTTGCAGACGCCCCTAATGTATCAGGGGTTCAGATTCCAGCTCTACAACCAACTGGGTGACCTTAGGCAAGTCACTTCTCTTCCCTGAGCCTGGGTCTCCTGTCATCTGCAAAACGGAAGAAATTCACCTCCTCCTGGCAGGGCGGACTAGACGGGACCTAACCTGCGTGCCCAGCTCTGGGCCCTGCACCCATGGGTTGGAAAAGGGCGCCCAGGAGACCAGCCTGCCTACCGCAATCCCGGAGGTGGAGGTGGAGGTGGGAGGGGCCAGGAGCCGGAGCCCCCACCCCCGGAGCAGCCTGCTAGCTCTGCGGAGTTGGGGGCCCCAGGTTCTCAGAAAAGCCCCCTTTTCACGGTTTAATTGAATATTTGAATAATCCTTTCATTCCAGCGAGGCATAAAGAATGTTGTCCCAATAGCGGTGACTCAGGCAGGCGCCCCCGCGCACAATGGCCCCTCGAGTGGGGCTGCTATTCAGGCCGCCTTTTGTTGGCGCGGAGCAGTGGGTAAATTGCAAACGCTTAAGGGAATGCTGCCGCCGCCGCCTCAATGCAAGTCAGGAAATCGAATGTTAGGTCAATCCATTAAGCTTCGATTAAGTCCTCGGCGGAACAATGCCCGCCGGGCCCATCTTCATAAACACCGCGATTGCCAGGAGAGAGGCACTAATTTTAATTAAACCTCCTTACCTGCCTCCGCGCCCGCCCGAGACGCTATTTAGACGCCAAATGGCACCCTTATGCGGAGGCAGGCGAGAAGGAGGCGCTGGGGGCGGGGTGGGGCCGGCATCGCTGCTCAGCCCCAGAGCTGCTGCCTGGGGTGACACCCCAAACACTGCGAGAGGTTTTATGGGCAAGTGGGGTCCCTCTCCCTCTGGGTCCCTGTTTCCCGTCACGCCCAAGCTCCGTGGGCTCCAGTGGTCGAGGTGTGACCCCAGAACCCTCTGTTCCGCTCTGGGGTATCCCTTCACCCCTGCCCCAGGTATAGCCTCCGACAGGCCTCCTGCCATCCCTTCCCACGTGTGTTTAGGATGAAATGCAAATTTGACCATGGACCCCCTGCTTAAAATCCTACCCCTGAACAGTTCAAGATGCGCAGCCTGGTTTTGGCTTTGCACAACTCAGCTCCAGTCACCCATCTGTCTGCCCCCGTCCATCCTCTCCACCCCCTGCAGCCACACCCAAACTTCAGGACGCCCCACACCTTTGCAGAGCAGCCCTGCAAAGTCCCTTCCTTTGATACTGCTTGCCTTGTTCCACTCAGAATATTCCTACTCATCCTGCAAGGTCCTGCTCAGTCTCCTCCCCCAAGAAGCCTTCCCTGATGTCCCACGTATTGTTGGTTTCTCCTTCCTGGTTCATCCTGATCACACTGGACTGCCCCAGATCCTTT